CCACCCACCTTCGCCTCCAGGGCAACTTTAACGTCGGGCTTGAGACCAGCGCTGCATGATGTGACCGCGCGAAGCGTACCGCAGAAAACAGGGTATGCTACAGCCGGAAGGAATCCCTGATTGTATGTAAATGTGTGTTTGATTAATGTGCTTGCGTTTGTGGGTGGTTTTGTGTACTTTTGTTTGTGTGTTGGTGTGTACGAATGTGTTTGATCGTCTTTTTTGAACATGATTTCGCGAGGATGCCTTGAATAGAGAATGCGACTGATTATTTTCAAATATTCGAAAAAGGCACACGTAGATTTCGTTTATACCACAAGATATGCAAGAAGCTTAAACATGCACCTAATCTCTACCACACATGCGAGTGTATACATTATACATACATCCATACACATTTACCTTCCATATACCTTCCAAACATGCACGAGTTAAATTCGACGGTAGCTTCTGAGAGCGGCGAGTACAAGAGAAAGCTCAGGGACACGCATGTGTACAATCTCCTCAGAAATGGACTCATCCATATATGAGAATACACTACTATGTATGTGTTTTAACACTACTATGTTTGTGTTGGGGTTAACGTACCGTATGGGGCGCAGTGAGCACAAGGGATAGTCCGAAGATGTGCACACGGGCTCCCTCCCAGGAGGCAGCAGCGTTTACATATGTACTGAAGCCATCCAGTGCAAACGAATCGAACACGAGCCAAAGAGTAGCAGATTTATCCGCCGGAGGTTCTGATTGGTGCGAGGTTAGACGTATGAGTGTGAGTGTACGGTGAGTCAATGAAATGATCTTCGAGTTCGTACTCAGTGACGTTTGCTAATGTGAAACGAGCCCCACTAAAGAATACGGATACAACCATCCTACAGTGTAGAGGGACATTTAAATACACTGAACTTCGTGTACATAGGCGTGTGCCATGAAATGTCTATCTCAGTATAACAACAAGCCTTCCATGGTCTAACGCGTTCCCATCAAAACATAACTCACAGCGATTGAACACTCTTGATTCTACACGACTCAGTTGTAGGAATACCATATTACCGATTGAAACTTTCCACTAACATTCCTGGATTATACACGAGTTGCGGTTGTGCTATAAAATAAGATCAGCGCCGTTCATACTTATCAACGAGCTATCAAGATATATGCAAGGAAAGAAGATACTATGTCCATACAAATGTATATATCCCTATATATCCCTATATATCCCTATATATCCCTATATATATATATATATATATATANATAATAATATATATATATATATATAAGAAGAAGGTACCGACGTACATATATATATATATATATATATATATATGTTATATGTGTATATACATTCCAATATATATATATATATATATATATATATATATATTATGTATACACAAATTACCTCCGAGATACTGTAAAAATCTGTGTTGGAGAGCATGCGTCAACGGATGTTGTAGTATGATGCTTCCAATGGGTAGGTCCTGTTTGAGCAATCGCCGAAACAGCACTGCGCAAAACATCCAGCAGATCTCTTTTATTTAAGACTTTGTATACTCCTACATAGGAAGGAGACATGTGTATATGAATCATAAACGGGATGCTATAAAGTATAAACGAAATGTAGTCAGTGAATCCTGGCGGAGGTATGGAAAAGTATGATGGTTTAGTCATCTATTAGGTATATTACTATAAGTATAC